CTTGTAGCTGTTCATCGTGCTCTTCAACCAGCGCTAACGCACTGTTTTTCTCTTTCAGAAGAACAAGGGCCTTATCGTCAGCAGCATTTTTTGCAGCTAGTGCTTCATCCAACTGAAATAAATCGAAAATCTTCAAAGTAGGTGAGACGTACTATTTGAAATAAAAATAAAGAAATAAAGCCTTACTCATCGGGCATAAATAATATTACGAGTTAAAGAAAGAAGAAATTCAATTAAGTGCCTGTGTTTTTAATTCTGCAAGTTCACTTTCGAGATGGTGACGGCCTTTTAAAGCGCTAAGCTTCGCTGTCTCAGCGTCATCCAGCTGTTCTTGTAACTGACGCAACAAAACTTGACTTGAAGCTGTTTCCCTCTCATGGGCAAGAACACTCTGTGTATCTCGTAACAGCGCTAATGCCCTCTTTAAATCCCTTTTGTAATGACGTCCATATGAAGCTTCAGAGCTAAACCAATGAAAATTGTTTGAAAATCACACCACAGAAGAAATCCTAATAAAACAGATTGCAACCTGGAATTCTGGCTATCCATATCTCGGATCCGTGATTCAAGCATACGATTCTGTTTCATTAAAGATCCATTACTGTCCTGAAGATCAGCTATTTGTTCCTCAAAAGCACGAACCTACAAATAATTTTTTAAGCCCGCCAGAACAGTTTAAAGCGTAAGAGCCATGCAGGCTCAAATCCAGCCAATAAAATTTAGGATTCAACCAAATGGTTGCTTAAAGATTACTCGTTCCCAGCACTTAATTACGGAAAATGACTGTTCTAAATCAGATCTGCAAACAAGAAGTTGGGATGCTTGACCAGCATGACTTGAAAAACTATGAAATAAAGTGAAAACTTTATTGGTTAAAGCAGTCACCAAAAAATAACTTCGAAAGTTTTCTTACTGCATTAACCTTTGTTATAAGTTTCCTTTCGTGATTTGTAAAATTTGAGAAATAGACAAAGAACTGTTATAGTATATGGGTCACTTTCTACCTATTACTCTTCAAAGAATGCAGAAAAATATTACAATCAGTGGTGTTTCAAATTTTCAAAGAAAAAAAATGGCTGTATTCCTCGTCAGTTTGGTGTATAACACATCAGACACAATCAAAATCAACCTCACGGAATTCTTCAAACCACACAGTATTCATTACCTAGCTCTTATCATGGTAAAAGCTTTAGGTCAGTTTTGTCACGTTTCGTCCAATCAAACTGGCTCAAAAACTTTCAGTTAAATAACTTAATCTTTGCAGATGAGCCACATAAAAGCTAAATCAATTTAGATATCAAACAGATTTTCTTTTGGAAACAAAAATAAATGGTTTCAAAACCTTAGTACCCCAAATCGCCAAAATCTTCATTGGAGTCAGAAAGCAAAATTGCTATTAGTCGAGTTGTCTAAAGAAATCAACAGAATCAGAAATAAAACCAGAGGAAAGTGGACGTAATGCTCAGATGCGTAAAAGAAACCTTACCCTACGTTGATGCTGGGCTCTTAATTCATCAATTTCAGCTTCCTTCGCATCAAGATCTCGTGTTCGTTCTGATCTCACTCTTTCTGCAGCCATTTCAAGCCGTGTAACTGACTGTTGTAAACTCAGTGTTTTCCCTCTCATGTCGTCCAATTCATCCTCCTAAAAATGAATGATCCCGCTAAACGTTGAAACAAAACTTCAAGTAGTAATCATAAGATTGAAAACCCAGCAAAACCTGCTCCGCGCATTTTGCTTCCAGCTGCATTTTTGCCTTACGTAATGTAGTTAACTGGTTTTCTGTTGTCTCATTCGACTGCTCTCCTGCATCTTCCAATTCTTTTCTCAGCTTTGCTAAGTTCTGTCTCAATTCACCATTTTCTGCCTTCATAGTCTAAATGATAAACAGTCAAAAATGTAAAGACAATCTAAAAGAGAAAACAGACAAGAGATTATCGGTGAAAAACTTTTTTCATCACATCTTTAAAAAATGCTACTCTTTCCGCAAAAAATGGCGTAATGAATTCTTGAATATTTAAATTACTCTACCTTAAAAGTTATCCGGATTTCATTAATATTAGAAATATATAGCTTTTTTTCAAGGATACCTGTAATTCTGCAACCTTCTGTTCTAATGACGTGACAGCAACATATTTCTCTTGTTCGACTTTCTCCTTTAGAGTTTTTTGTTCCTCGCAGTTATCATTTAGTGCTTTCAGTTCGTTGTCAAATCTAAAAAATTTGCGTCTATTTCTCAAAAGCAAATATAAAAAAGTAGAAATGAAGATGAACAGGAATTACGTAGTGTTCCTTTTTTCCAACAATTCGTTCCTCGCGCGTAAGTCCTGAAGCTCATTTTCAACATCTTTTAGTCTTTCTAAAGCTTTTTGAGCGCAAGATCTCTGTGTAGCCTCACTTTCACGAAGCGTTGCCAGTTCTTTTTGAACTTCAGAAGACTGAAAAAACATAATTTTCTCATGTCAGCAATTAGAACTCCGTTCAATTTAAGATCAATGAAATCTAAATCAAAAAAAATTCGTAAAATTTATGGAGAAAAAGTAGAAAACTTTAGTCTCATTTTTAAAGCAAATTTTGAAGTTTTGGTTGAAGGAAGTTTGAGACTAGTGGAAAAAAAAAGATAAGTCTTTAAATTGAAAAAATTTGTAAAACTAAACTTTTTCCAAGTTTACAAGGTCAAGTCTTGAGTGGGAAGAAGCAGACGAAGAGAGTCGAGAGTCCTCTACAAAATAAACATTATTAAAAACTGCATTACACTTAAAAAAGCAAACAGGATGTTCTTCTTGAGAAATAGTGTGCTGCACTATACATGCGTACCGTAAGGGCAAAAGTACATACAGTATAGCGAGTAATGAACGGATAAAAGGCAGTATGAAAAATAAGAATATTTCCCAAATCTTCTACTACCTGGATGTCGTTGTTGCATCGCATGCAGCTGTTTTTGAGTAGCCACGCGACTCTCAGTTTCGCGTTCAAGAGCCTCACTCAGCGATTGAGAATTACTAACTTCAGCTGCAAGCAACTGTTCGAGTTCTGAAATCCTCCCCTCAAGGCGGCTCCGAACAGAACGTAATTCCGAGCAAGCCCCCTCTAAATCTGATAATCTCTGCTTCCATTCCCGGAATTCCTCGTCACTCCTAATTATGAAATTAATTACCGTCAATAAGAGTTGAATAAATTTGAAAATCGACAAACTGAAGTGTACCAAACCTAGCTGCATCCAGTAAGGGTAGTACCCGTACATAAAGACGCCACCACGTCCATTCACGAACCTTCAAATAAGTTCGACCATTTCTTTGGATACAGCGTATGGCAGTCTCCAGGACTCGTCGTCGAGCAAGCCATCTCTTCGCAAGATACCGGCGACAAACTCGTTGAAGTGAGACTATAAGACCACTCAAACAGATTTCCCTTTTCTCTTCTAACCCTGCCATCACTTCATTACGAAGCAGAACCTGCATTAGTCATTATAGAAGAAAAGAAAAAAGAAGGATATACCAAAAAGAATAATATTTGAAGTACGAAAAGCGATTTGATGATGCAAAAATCAAAAGCTTAAATTTTACACATTACCGACAACTATGCGAAACCTTTAAAAGTTTGTTTCCAATGCAGAAATTAACTGAAACTTCATTTACCTGACTTAATCCAAGTTTGTAATGATGAGCAAAAACGCCGACTTTTTCCAGCAAACGTCCGGCTGCCGCCCGGTCATCAAGGACGTCATATAAAGAGCTTTCCTGTTGCTCAATTAGACACTGGAAGCGCCTCAAAAAATCTTTGAAGCTCATGCGTTCAGGAAAACCTAAATTACGAAGTAGCGAGGGTCAGAAAACCAAAAATGAATGAAATTTTTAAATTTAAAATAAAATTAAAAGGACCTCGATTTGATGCGCGAGCTGAGTCGACTATCAACAACGACTGCAGCTGCGAACGTACAAACGGAACGTCGAACGACTCTTGCTCACCACTGGGCACCATATTTGAAGGAGATGGTAATGGTTGAATGCAGTGAACAAAGTAAATCCCGTTAGCACGCCGCGCTACTGAGAGAATATAATCCTTAAAATTTCACAACTTAAAAAAGCGTAAAAGAATAAACTCAAGAGAGGTGGTAATATAGAGTAACTAATGTACCATTGGACTCTACAAAGAGTGAAAAGCAAGTGTTTTGAAAGTTCTTAGAAGCAAAAATTTTTTGAATCAAAAAATGGCAAATATAAAGAAATGCTACTGCATAACATGGAACTTTAAAGCACATTTATTTGCTTCCTCCGCGGTCACCGACCAAGGTGGTTCAATATGTGAAGGAGAAAAAAATTTTAGCTCAATTTTAGGAAACACGAAAAAAGAGAATTTTCGTGCTTGAAAAATAAATAATTGACAAAATCAATTGTCACCAGTTGGATAAAAAACATGATTTTATGTCCAACCTAAAATATTAAAGTTCACTGACGCTATAGACACGCTAAAACCAAAATTTTTCCTTTCTATTTAAAAAAAATGAAGTCAGTATATTGCAAATACGAATATAAAACGTAATTAAAGTGAAATCATTAGTGTAAAACTCTTCACCAAAACCAAACATCTAAGAGAGCGTGAAATTTGCTCGCTCATCCCTACAGTAAACAGAGAACTCATTCTAATTGTTTGTGGTTAAAAGAGATTACAACTGCTAAAGCTTCCTTCTGCAGATAAGTACTAATACAATGACTGCAAACTGGTTAATTTGCAATCAATGCACACCTTACAAAAAAACAAAGTTTCAGTCACAGCAATGAAGACACAAAACGAGAACAAGTTTATAAAAATAAATTCAGAAAAAAAATAAGGAAAGTGGTGTAGGTGAAACGTAGTCTCAAACTTCAAAGCAAATGCATTCACCGCTACTTGGAAAACTTTATGCAGGCAACAACTTTGAAAGTTCAAAAATTACCCTGCTTAAATAAAAACAAGTGTTTTACAAAATAACTGTCTAGGAGACATCTAGAATAATCACAGTTTCTTCAATGTGCAAGAAATAATCATGCAAAAAACACGAGCTTTTTATTGCGTTCATTCAACAAAATTCAACACCATTAATTTTCGCAATTCAGTTATTTTCATGCAAAAAGCATGAAATATACATTCCGTCATATTCTAAAGCCCAGTTTTTTATCTTAAAAGTAACCCAGCTTTTACATCCCCCCCCCCCCCCCACCACCCCTCCGATGAGGTTGTCAACAAAAGTTAGCTAAATATTCTGCATAACTCCAGCATAAACTGAATATTTCAGACCAGCAGTACTATTTCAGAGCATTTGCAAAATATTACTAACTATCCTGCGCACAAAACATACTTCCATACACTGCTAGAAAAAATTTTCCGGTCCCAATAAAAAATACAAAGCTTTTAAAACAAACCGTCTTAGAAAAAAAATTTACAATTTTAAAGTTAATAGTAAAATTTAAAATTTTTTCTCTAATTTTACTCTTCATGTTCTTTCGATACAGTTCTTTATCTTGCCACAATCAAAAATGTCTATAATGATGTTTAACATGTTAAAATTTTCCTAAACTTTCAATCTACAGAAAAATTGAAAAAATAAATAATAAAAAAAACCAACCACTTGGGCAGAGATACCAGAAAAATAGCTGGTAGCCATACGAAGTGAAGTTCCATCCAGTTTCACGCTCTGCGTAGCTTTTCGTAATTTTAATGCAGCGCTATCTGTTTCAGTAATACCAAAAGATGCAAACAAACTATTGACCGCAGAGCTGAAATTAAATAAATGAACCAAGGAGGTTATTTGTAACACACTAACACAAATCATTTATGTGCCAAGCTGGAAGATGCGTGCTCACAACCCCTCTCTCCCCCTCCCAATTCGTATCAAAAAATCATCAAAAAAATGTCTAGAAATTTATGCAGCATCGATAACTTTTAAGCCTAACATTAATAGTAGAATTAGTACGACAGTAAAAAAGCGTCTAAACTCGAGTTCAACAGCAGCAAAAGAAAAAGTATAAAACATCAATGATCCAGCAAATACTACATACCTCAAAAGAGAAACTATCTCAAACAATGTACATAGCACCTAAATAATGTAAAGAACACTCTGTACCACCAATAATATGTCCGATGAAAAATTTTGTATCCAGCCACATAAAAAGTAAGCCAAAAAACTTTGGCCCTTTAACGACTTTCAAACGAAGAAATCTTTCATTACCCACTAAATAATAACCACTAAAAAACCGTATAGAGGCTACAGTGAAATTTTGAAACAAATTATTAAACAATATAAAAAAAGTTAACGAAAGGAGTTTAAACAAAGAATGCCAGTAGGTGAAAATGGAAGAGATTTCCAGTGAAGCAAAATAAAATGATATTTTTTAAACTCACTCTCTTGAATCATGTAGCAGAAGCAACGCGACCGGATCAGCAACACTAGACTGAGCCATTTTGACCCACCCGTTTACTGCATAAGTTATAGGCGAAGTTCCTATACCATGTCCAAGAATAAAGTGACGCGTGCCAGACCCCCTTCGAATGATTCCTACAGTTCTTTTTTGAATGAGCCATTATTTTAGCAAACCAAACCAAAAAAAGGCTATTTTCAAACAGGTGAAACAAGCGAAGAAAAAAAATTAATATTCAATAAAAATCTAAACTAACGAGATTCCTCAAAATGAATGAATATCCTCTCAAAGAAAGAATCATCAGTAGCACCCGGAAACAAAGCTTCTTCATCTAATATCCAGAGCAAACCACGTCTTTCCTCACTTCGCATTTCAATATCAACACAGTTCAACTGAACGGAAAAAACAATTGACAGGAACAAAACAATAAATTTTAATTAACAGTAATAAATTCCTTTTTAAAAAATTGGGGCAATTTAAAATTTTAACAGGTTCTATAATTCATGGCTTAAACATCGAACTTCCCATAAACAATTCGTTATAGATAAAAGGATAATCAAAACTCACGAGCTGTTGCTTCTGATCGATCATTCGAGTTACGTAATGAGGTCGCAAATGAGGTGCTTGCACCTCAACTTCTACATGTTCCCTTGCATACAACTCCAACGGCTCAGTGAATTTTTTCTCATAACATAATTCAGCGATACGTTCATTAAAGTAGTTATGAATAAGGTCTGTTAGATCACTCACCGTGTTCTCGCCCTAAAAAACACTGCTTTTCGAGTCAAAGCTCTCAAGAAATGAATAAACAATAGCATTCAGAACGAAATTACGAAAGCTGACAGATTGCCATTAGCACTTAAAAAGGAACCAACGTATTCAAACTCTCAGCAAGGTGCCCCTACTTGTAGCTCTTCATTTGGAATCAAAAAGTGATTTAAATATTAAGAGATGCCAAATACATAAATTTTTAATAAGAAACTTGCTTCAACCCAGGCAGAATTGAAGTTGCTTCCCGGGAAATCAAATATCGTTATAGAAGTATGTCCTGACTGACTACTATTTCCACAAAGACCACGATTCAACAACATCACAACGGCAGCAAACAACTGCGTATACAAAGTAGAAATGAAATTATTTAAAGCATCCTGCCCGGTTACTGTGCGGTTCGACATTGAAAGTCGACTGAAAGCAAAACTGATTATCAGAACAACCATTCCATGAAGGTCTGTAAAATAAAAAATGCCTACTTCATTGAGTTTGGTACGTTTGCCTGTTGGCTTCCTCTAAAAACCGCAGTGGCTAATTGATCGACAGTGATTCCTAGAAGAGTTGCTGCCATCTGGGCATTTGAAGCACGCACAAACTGTGCCCTAGACGCTTGACTATGAGTTGCCTCCGCAAAACAAAGGTGAAGAATAGCTGCTAAGATATTACAAATCCCTTGGCGCTCACTTTCAGTAGCGCCTAGCTTACTAAGAGCCTCCATAACTCGTGACCAGCCCTAAAAAATTTAATAATCGCAATCAAAAATAAAGATACTACAAACCCCGATCCATTTT